ATCTCCTCTTTTTCTAGCGCCTCAATCACCTCCTCTTGCTCCTTCTTTCCTTATTAAAGTGCTGCTTTCAGTCCTCTATTTGTGGTTTTCTCGCACTTGCTCTGTTTTTCACTTTTACACTGTTTATCATCTTTCAAATTTCTTTATTTCCTTGATTTGCTCTTCGTATTCTTTCTGCTTCCCCCTTTTTTTCTTTGCATTTTCTTTTGTACTTTTTTTTCTGTTCTCGTACCTCATTTCCCTCCTCTTTTCTTCTCCATCATTTCTATACATCTGTTTTTCTCTTCTGTACACTCTCTATCCCACCACTTCCTTCTATTTTCTCCTTTCCCTTCTTTAACGTGATTGGTTTTTAATAATCTACTCCTTCATATTTTCCAACTTCTCCTCTGTATTCCCTCTAATTTCTTCTTGTTCCTCTAGTTTCCCCCTACACGACGCCACAATGTCTCTTGTCCATAACTCTCCCTACGTCTTTGTATCTTTCCATTTCTTGATCTCCTTGTCTTATCCTTTAAACTCATTTCCATTGGTTGGTGAACTCATTCTACCCTTGTAACTACCTTAAATTGTTCTATTTCGTCCAGTATTTTTTCCTTTTCCATTGTGTAATCAATTACCGACCTCCCTCTTCCTCTGATGTATGTGAATTGCCCGTCCCTATTTCCTTCCATAATTCCGGTTAAAATTCTCCATTCACCCTTTTTAGATAATTCGAGTATTGGTGTAGCTGTAGACGGTAGTTACGTAGAGTAAAAAAATTGTTTGAAGCTCTGTATGGTTTCCTTCATAGTTAGGTAGCAAATTAAGAAGCACGGCCGTCATACCTTAAGATTTTTTAGTTTTTCAGGCCCCATTTTTCAGTTTTTTCGGTTTTTATATCCCTCAGATTCATAGATTTATATGCTTTTTGCCTTAACAGCGTTAAAGTTTTTAGGACCTTTCAGTAGTATTTCGAAAACCTTCGATTTTTAAAACTCTTTAGATCTATATAATTTTTATTTTTGCCATTTTTTGAATTCTTTGATTGTTCAAACTCTTCAGATCCATATAAGACTCTTCGAATGTGTGACTTTTTTCATTTTATGGTTGTATAGATGTTTCTGTTTCTTCGAATTCTTCTGATTCTTGAGATAACTTACATAAGATTCTGAAGATTTTTTGGGATCCTTCCGATTTTTCCTATAATACATGAAAATTTGCAATGTGTTCCCCTTTTTTACACCATCCGAAATGCTTCACCATGGTGTTCGACTAGGTCTCAATTCACTAACGTGCGCTTAAGCAACTAAGTATTAAAAAAATCTGCTGTTGTTTTCGTTTTGTCCGTTCGTCCGCCCGTCCGTCTGTCCGTCCGTCCGGACCCACTTCTGCGGTTTTGAACTACTTTTAGGGGAAAACGTGCATAACTTTTACACGTGACAACCAACTGGTTTCAAAATTTTCATACGCATGCCTTTAGTAGCGACAAGTAAAATTTTTGGAATGGGGGTCGGAAGGAGGGGGTGAACGCACGTTCTACCTTTCATGGTATTCTAATGTAAGCTCGCACCAAAATGAATTGGTTTGTACAAACTACACTTTCCTGTCCGACTCCTTTTCGATATCAGTAGGTGGCCAGTGAGTGGAGGGAGTAGAAACTAATTTTATCTTTCATGGTATTCCAATTAAAGGTCTCAAAAAAGGAACTGTTTTCTTCCGCAACTACTACTTTCTGCCTCCTTATCAAAAGAGGGGATAGGGGAGAGCGAGGGGTGTCTCACTGTTGGCATTACATGTACATTTTCTCGGCAGTCGCTGGCCGTCCTACGGCAGTCGCTGGCAGTCTTATGGCAGTCGACTATAATTATAGCAGTCAATGGCAGTCATTAGCAGTCGCTAGATAGTCTTTGGCAGTCGCGGCAGTCTCTTGGAATTTAGCACTCACTCAGCAAATTTCGTGAAGTTTCATGTAAAAAGTAGGCAAATTTAGATAACCCTCTCGCATTCACCGTTCACGTTGGGAGTTGGTCAGTCGGCAGGTGATTTTATTTTACTTTCGTCTTGGCTTCAGTTTTGTGTTTGGCAATTAGTTATTACTGTTAGCGATTTTTAGCGCATTTTTGCAAATTTATTTGTAAAAAGTAACTTTTAATCTCACTTTGGCTGGCTGGCTGGCCGGATGGCTGGCTGGCTGGCAGCAAATGTGAGCGCGTAGAAGAACTCTTGTAGAAAGGCAACGGGTCTACTACAGTTTTGATCCGATTCTTTTCAAACTGGTGTCGTCGAAAAGATGTTGTAAACGCGCACAACTCCTGCGTGGCGGAATTTTGTTTTTTGTCCTAGGTGGCGAAATTAACGACCTTTTGCAAGGCGCGCATTCCCGTCTTCGAGAGGTAGTCAACTTCGGGCGCCTTTTACCTTCCGTTGCGAGTTTTGTCACGCGGTTTAACGTTTCGTAAATCTCGAATCGCTGTCTCTCTTTCTCGTGTCGCCGATAGAAGCTCGAGCAATGAGAAGCGCCCCAAAAATTAAGTACTATCTTGTGGAAGGTTTTTAGCGAAATCCACCAAAATGTGGGTGTAATGCACCGGAAAAGGGAATGTGGTACCCTCCGACAAGATCTAACTGATGATGGAGTGAAAACGTCAAACACGAATTTGGGGTGAACGGGGCGTCGGAAGTGGGTACCAACAAAGGGAATGTGGTAGCCCCCGAAACGATCCCTCTGATGGTGGAGTCAAATCTTCAAACGCGAATTGCGGGCGAACGGAAGGTCGAAAGTGGGTACCGTCAAAGGGAATGTGGTAGCCCCCGACACGATCTTCCTGATGGGGGAGTCAAATCTTCAAACGCGAATTGCGGGCGAACGAAACGTCGGAAGTGGGTACCGTCAAAGGGAATATGGGAAGTGGGAAGCGAGTACCGACAAAGTGAATGCGATAGCCTTCCACAAGATCTTTTATTGATGGTGGAGTCAACACTAGCTATTAAAACACTGATCTGATCTGCCACACAAAAATGCGCTGAAGTCCCTTCGATCTCACACGTGGACTTTGATAATGTTTTATTAAATAACAAGTAAGTATCTTTTAAATAGATTATTCTTTTTCTTATCTGTCGATTATCAGTGGATCTTTTTAGTCGAATTTTTACCCATTTTCTTCGGTAATTTTAACTGAAATCACTGTACAAGGCACAGCAATAGGGAATATGCATGGGGTTTAAATTTACTCGATTCTTTTTCCCCCGCATCTTTATTGTCCAGACATTACACTTAAACCATTATTTTCTTGTTTAGTTTGTTTTCATTTGCATAAAATATAATTAAAAAATGCAAAATATGCAAACGAAATTAAAATTGTTGATACATGCATTGATGTCAGCATTTTTTGCATCAAGTGGAGATTTTATGTCCGCTGATGGTTTAATGGTGTTGGCAATACAACAATTCTTTCATTTTTCTTACGATAACTGATAAGAGGTATACTTTTATTGAATATTCTACTGCATACCCAAACTGTAGTGCTAATATCGAGGCTAATATACTAAATTCATTAAATTTTATTTCCTTTAGGGCCGGTACTTTCAACGGCGGTTAGTTTAATTTAGCAATTGGTTAACTATAAACCACACGTTTGGGTACTTTGAGGCGCGATTAAGATTTAAACAGGGTTAAAAGTGGGCGGAACTGCTGTTAAACTAACCGTTTGAAAAAATCATGGTTATGTAGCTAACCATGTGTGTTATAACCTTACTTCATTATTACTATCTCTGCTTTCAATTTACAACAAACAATAAAACATAATGGATTTGTTTGAACTTGACGAATTGTTTGATGATAATGATGAAGAAATCATTAATTTTATTGATGGTTTGAGGTCTTATACCGTGAAAGAGAGAAAAGACCATTTTGCTGAGTGTACTGACAAGGAGTTCTATGATCGGTTTCGGTTCAGTAAAAATATTGTTAGAAATGTTATTTTACCAGCAATAGGACATGTGTTTCAACATGAACACCTGCTACAGTGTGTATTATCAAATACTAGAATGCATTCAAAATAACACTTTTTCCCTTAGGTACCATGAAATTGACCCTTTGAATCAGCTTTTAATTACGTTAAGATTTTATGCTTGTGGAAGCTTTTATATAACGCTAGGAGATTTTATAGGTATACACAAAACAACTGCAGGAAGAATAATAAAAAGAGTAACACAAGCTTTACTTACTATTCGAGGCAATTACATAAAATTTCCTGAAAATGAAGAAGAAAAAAGAAGAGTACAAGAACGTTTTTTTCATGTAGCACAATTTCCTGGAGTTATTGGAGCAATTGACTGCACACATGTGAAAATTCAATCTCCGGGTAAGAATACATTCACTTCTTAACAAAACATTATATTTTACGACATGAATAATTTCTGTGATTATATACAAGTTTTATTTTTAGGTGGGAACAATGCAGAAGTTTTCCGGAACCGAAAGGGCTTCTTTTCATTAAATGTGCAGGCAATATCTGATAGCAGGTATGTTATCATGGATATAGTGGCACGATGGCCGGGATCTTGTCACGATAGCCACATATTTGCAAACTCGCTTATCAAAAGACGATTCGAAGCAGGTGAATTTGGAGAATCTGTTTTATTAGGCGATAGTGGCTATCCCTTGCTTAATTATTTAATGACACCAATAGGAAATCCACAAACACCAGCCGAAGAAAGGTATAATGGAGCGCATATATCCAGTCGAACAGTAGTTGAGAGAACATTTGGGATATATAAAAGGCGATTTCCTGTTTTGAGTTTGGGATTACGATGCAAAGTTCATTTTGCACAAGAGATAATTGTTGCTACTGCTGTATTGCATAACATAGCTATTCTACATAAAGATGAAATTGTACCTCCTCCTGTCGATGTAAATAATTTACTAGAAGATATGGAACCACCTCAACTAGTTGCAGGAGATCGAAACATAAACTTTGTGCAACAAAGATATGTTAATTATTTTCAACAACTTTGAATATTTTTTTATTATTATAATTAAAAGAAACATATAGATTTCTAAATTAAGTCTAGTTTACTACTTAAATATAAATGTAAGAATATCTGTAAGTATACAGTTTAAATAAAAATAAAGTGAGCCTTCTATGTTACACTTTTTAAATCTTTTAGCTTGGAATTCAATTCACATTTTAATATATCGATTTTTAACTGTTGTTCTTCCACAGCTAAGGCATGCAATTCTTTTTTTCTTGTTCTCTCCTCAATTATGGCCTGTAATTGCTCTTGTTTAATGTTCATCTCAATATCTGCTAGCTCTTTCTCTTGCTTTGTTTTATTTTGCTGCTTAAGTGCTGCATCAAGCTTAATGTTCTTTTCTATTTTGTAACATTCCTCTTGAATTTTAGCTAATTCTGTTTTTTGGAAAGCCAAATCCTGAAAACCCTTGAGGCTGTTCTGTTTTTCATCAGAGGTAACAGTTCTTTTACGTTTCAAGTTCCAGGACTTTGTGGGCTAAAAATTACAAATAAGTTTATTAGTACTATTTTATGTAGGTAGTACCCATTTATACACACCTGTGGTGTAGTAGTATTTTCAACATGTACTGGTCTTGTATTAGTTGGATCGTCAGTTACAGGTTGTACCTCTGGTTGTATGCCACTAGAGGTCAAGCCAGCAGGCACGATAACCATTGCTTGTGTCAATGACGATTCATTTTCCATGTAAACATCTGAAAATACAATCTCAGTATTTTCTTCAGGAAGCTCTCCTACACCTAAACAAAATAAAATAAATACACAAATTCTAGTCACAATAACCACCTACCATTTATGTCGATTAATTTTGTCTCGTTTACAACTATTGTGTCCGAATCACCTGTTGAGGTAAGACCTTCTATACTTAATTGTAAAATTGAGTACAATTGCTCTTCATACCACAATAACTTCACGTCAATGGGTGGGCCACCTCCAGTGCCCCTGTAATTCTGTTTTGAAAGCGCTATTTTCTTTTTGAGATTTCTTTTTATATTTTCATATTTCATCTTCAACGCGTTAACATCACGCTTCGTTTCAGAATTCGCACTGTCAAATAACTTTCCAACTCTCGCCCATGCACTCTGTTTTTCTCTTAAGCTTCCTCCATCGGTTAATTTATTTTCTATTATTTTAGACTCTTGCAGAGCACATTTCATTAATAAATCTACTTCGGTGATTGTAAAATTGCAACCTCTATCGCGTTTTTTTGCCATTTTAACAAATCAATCGTATGTTGAAGAGGTTATGTTAGGAAATAAACAAAGAAATAAACGATACGTTTGAACTACTTTTGTTAAAACATTGTTACCAACCGAACATAATCGTTGGTTATCTAAACAAGATTTAAACTACGGTGTAAAGTACCGAAACCGCTTAATCATGATTATTGATATTGGTTAGTTTAACAAAGCGATTAACTAATCGGTCGTTTAACACAAAGCGAAAGTACTGGCCCTT